GTTGTGGGGATCGAACCACAGCAACCTGAGCCTGACGGCTTTGTTGAAGCAGCCACTTAAAGAACTGAGCTAAGGGGCAGGCCCCCGTTTTGTTGTGTTTCAGGTCAGGGTCTCACTTTGTAGTTCAGGCAGGCAGGCCTTGAACTTGAGTTGATCCTTTTGCCTAAACCTCCCCAAGTGTGAGGATTACAGGTGTGTGCCACTCTGCCTGATAGTGCTTAGTATTTGGTTGAAGCAAGGAATCTTTACTATAGAGTGTTTGTTAGCAAATATAGAATACTTAGCAATTAATGACTTGTCATGGAATTATTTTTTTTGAACTTTTTGTTACTTATTTTTTGCAGAACTGGGGATTGAACTCAGGCCCTTGTGCTTGCCAGGCAGGCACTTATTTACTGAGCTATCTCCCCAACCCTGAATATTATGATCAATGAAATAAAAATTATAGGTGTCAACTGCTTGGTAGAGGATTACTTTATTATTTTAAGCAAGACAAGGCATAGTATAAAAGTGGTATAAGACACACTAGGATTTGATTTAATTTTGGGGTACAGAGAATTGAACTCAGGACCTTGTACTTGCTAGGCCTGTGTTTTGCTGCTGAAGTATACTTTTAGCCCTGACACCTTGTTAAAATAAGGTAAAACAGGTGTTTCACAAATGTTCACTTGTTTTGTGTACAGGGTAACCAAACCAAACACACTTATTTTTTTAGCGGAACTGGGGATTGAACTCAGGCCTTGTGCTTGCCAGCGAAGCGCTAATTCTGCGGAGCCATCTCCCTGGCCCAAACACACTATCATTGAGCTACATTCCTACCCCTTTATTTTGACAGAGGTTCTCCTGTGTTAACCAGGATGGTCAGGAATTTGAGATCCTCTTAAGCTTCTGAGTAGGTGGAATTATTATTGAGTACATTTAGTTTCTTCAATATAAGGGGGTGCTGCCAGAAATATAGCTTAGTGTCATAAGCATCTGCCTGGCAAATACAAGGTTCTGAGTTCAATTCCCAGTACCAAAAAACAAAACAAGAAGGTACTACTGTTTTTCAGTATCTTTAATGCTAAGAGTGCAGTTTAAATTTTCTTAGTTTTTCTGATAATTAATGGAGTCTGTGTAGCATTAGTGTTTGTAGTTTGAACATGATACAGAAGTGATTATTCATAACACAAATCCAAAGGTACTGTAATCCCAGCATTTGGGAGGCTGAGGCAGAAGGATCGTTGTGAGTTGAGACCAGCCTAGGCTACAAAGTGAGCTCAAGGCTAGCCTGAACTGCATAGTGAGACCCTGGCATTTGGTGCCGGGGATTGAACCCAGGTCTTTGCACTTGCCAGGCAAGTGCTTATGCTGCCCATGAGAGAGATTTTGAAGCTAGTCCCCTCCATCTTGAGCTGCGTCTTCATCCCTTTTATTTTTTTATTTTTTCCTCATCCCTTTTTTATTTTTATTTTTTTTGGCAGAACCGATGATCAAACTCAGGCATTTGCGCTTGCCAGGGAAGTGCTTATTCTAGTGAGCCATCTCCCCGGCCCCCTCATCCCTTTTTATGTTGAGACAGATTTGCTTAATTCCTTGTGTTGGGCTTGAATTTCCCATCATGCCTCAGCCTTTGTGGAATGTTGGGATTATATTCATATACCCAATGGGGCCGGGCAGATGGCTTAGTGGAATAAGTGCATCCCTAGCAAGCGCAACGGCCTGAGTTCAATCCCCGGTTCTGCCAAAACAAAACAAAACAAAAACAATCATATACCCACCACTCTGCCTAGATTACGAGTTTTTATTTTTTATTTTGTGGTACTGGGGATTGAACTCAGGACCCTGAGCTTGCCAGGCAGGCACTTATTCTACTGAGCTATCTCCCCAGTACAGTTCATATATGTATATATATTTTGTGGTATGGGGGATCAAACTCGGGACCTGCCATTTATGAGACAGGCGCCTGTGCTGCTGAGCTATCTTCCCAGCTCAAGGTTTTTTTTTTTTTTTGTATTTTAGGGAAGGGTCAATAAGGGTGTTCAGGGTCTCACTACTAGATAGGACTTGTGGTGATTCTCTTGTTTACGGCCTCCCAAGTGCTGTGATATCAGGCGTACGGCCCAGTCTCAGTTGGCGTGGCCCAGTCTTAACCACCAGCTCAGTGCGCCCTGGAGGACAGGGCCAGCAGGGTAGGCCTGGGGATTGAACCTCTGGCCCCTGTGCTGGCTTGCAGGCGCTTTAATACATTGAGCTATTTGGCTGGCTCCTATAAGTATTTTTAATACAGTTTCTGTCTTCTGGTGGAAGTGGTTGTTTTTTGTTGGGGATTGAGACAGAGTCTTACTGTGTAGTGCAGGGTGGCCTAGAATTTGTGATAATCCTCCTGCCTCAGCCTCCCATGTGCTGGGATTACATGGGAGCACTACCATGCCCTGTAGGTGGGAGTTGTGATATCAAGAATAAGAACAAATTCAATGCCTAGGCTACTTGTGGAATTGTGCTGAGAGACATGCGTTTTTTTAGTGGTAGGGGAACAGAAACTCCTTTTTCATTACAACCCCCTAAGATATTTATTTGGTGACCTTCAGTTTTCATTATTAAGCCTGTGATGGGTCCCTGATCTCTAGACTTTTTGGAGAAGTTTAAGTGTGTGTGTATGTATTTATGTATGTATTTATTTATTGGTGCTGGGGATTGAACTCAGGACCTTGTGCTTGCCAGGCAGGTGCATATGCCACTGAGCTATCTTTCTGTCCCTTTAAATTTTATATCTGCTGGGTGTGATAGTGTATGTCTGTAATCCCAGCACTCACTGTGTAACCTAGATTGATCTGGAACTCAAGCAATCCCTCTACTGCAGCCTACTGAATGTTTTGATTATAGGCATGTGCCACCATGCCCAGCTGTTTTTTATTTATTTATTTATTTATTTATTTGTGTGTGTGTGTGTGTGTGTGTGTGTGTGTGGCCAGCTCAGCCCACCAGGGGCCGGGCTGGCTGGCATGTGGTGCTGGGGGATTGAACTGCAGTCTGTGTGCTTTACTAAGCTTGTTCTAAGTAGGTGCTTAGACCACTGAGCCATCTCACCAGCCCCCCAGCTGTTTTTTAAAATACATTTTATTTGGAGACGGTTTCACTAAATTCTTAGGTGGGATTTAAACTTAGCTTCCTGCCTTCGTGCTGGAACCCTCACCATCCCTGATTAAAATGCTGTATTTTAAAGAAAGTAAGGGGGAGAGTCACATGGAGAGAAAACATTTTCTCAGGCTTTCACAGAGAGCACATTGGCCAAGCAATGGCCGTGACTCATCCACACGGCTGACAGTGACAAAGGATCTACAATCTGAGGTACAGGATCTCAGGATAAATCCTGAGGGGATTTCACTGACCTTATCAGACCCAAAAGCTGCAAGTCTTGTTGCATAGGTCTTGCTTTATCTTGGTCTTAACCATCCAGCAGAAAAGTATAAAAATGAAGTATAAGAAGTAAAGCCATGCTGTTATGTTGAGCTGTAGGGGATTCAGGTCAACAATTTCTGACATTGCCAGTGAAGCGGAAGACCCAATACTATTATGGACCACTGGACTCTTTTAGAATATTTTGCTGAGTTTACACACCTATAATATTCAAATAACGGGACTTAACGAAAAAAGGGTATACAGATGAATGTCCATTTTGTATCTGTGTATTCAAAATGGTTAAGATAGATAGTTACATTCTCTTAATGAATAGAGGGATTTGTTCTAAATTTGTTCTAAAATTTATTTGTAAATAGGATATCATGTCTGCATCTTATACAGCAATTAATCACAAGGAAGCATGCATGCAATGTGTTAATTATTGAAACTGTCCTACCAAATTGGTTTGAAACTGTCTCATTGCTATTTGTTTCTCAATAAAATTGTGGGGAAAAAAAAATGAAGAAAGGGAGCCAGGGCTGGTGAGATGGCTCAGTGGTCTAAAGCACCTACCTAGAACAAGCTAAGCAAAGCACAGGGACCGCATTCAAGCCCCCAGCACCACATGCCAGCCAGACCCGCCACCTGGTGGGCTGAGCTGGCCACACACACACACACACACACACACACACACACACATATAAATAAACATTTAAAAAAGAAAGTAAGGGAGCCAGGGAGATAGCTTGTAGAATAAGTGCTTGCCTGGCAAGTGCAAAGGCCTGAGTTCAATCCTTGATTCTGCAAAAAAAAAGAGAGGAAAAAAAAGTTAAGAATCCCCCCAGTCTTAATTCACATAGATATTCTTTTTTTTTTTTTTCCCCCCCCTCTGGAACCAGGGATTGAACTCAGGCCCTTGTGCTTGCTAGGCAAGCACTTATTCCACTGAGCCATCTCCCCAGCCCTCACATTAGATATTCTAAGATATGGTCATTTATTTAGATTCTTGTTAATATATTCATGGTTCAATATATATAGTTTAAAAAAAAAAAAAACATTTATTGTGTGTGTGTGTGTGTGTGTGTGTGTGTGTGTGTGGCCAGCTCAGCCCAACAGGGCGGGGCTGGATGGCATGTGGTGCTGGGGGATCGAACCGCAGTCCCTGTGCTTTGCCAAGCTTGTTCCAAGTAGGTGCTTTAGACCACTGAGCCATTTCTCCAGCCCCCAATATATGTAGTTTTATTTAAATGCTGTTCTTACTGTTTATATGCTATTTTTAAACTCTTCAGGGTTTGTCAATGAGGCAGATCAGATTCCGATTTGATGGACAGCCAATCAATGAAACAGACACACCTGCACAGGTAAAAATCTTCTAATTTTATAATTTTTAAAACTGCCTTGTAAATTTGTTGATTGATAGATTGAGACAAAGGCTCACTAAATAGTTCGGGCTGGCTTCAAAGTCACAGTGACGAGCCAGGTTTGGTGGTGCACACCTATAATCTGAGCACTCAGGAGGCTGAGGCAGGATCACTGCGAGTTTGACACCAGTCTGGACTATAAAGTGAGCTCAAGGTTAGCTTGAACTGAATAGCAGGACCTTGTCTCAAAATGACAACAAATTTAAAAAAAACCTCATAGTGATTCTCCTGACTGCTGGAATTGTAGGTATGTGTCACCATGCCTGACTAGTTGTTACAGAAGTGGAAACAAGTATTGTTGAAGGAGATCTTAAAGAAAAAATAAGAATAGATGCAGGAAATGCTAAAAGATTTGTTTGATTTGATTTTTTTTTTAGGAAATGGTCTACAGGGTGTTCAGGGTCTCACTACTAGATTGGACTTGTAGTGATCCACCTGTTTACAGCCTCCCAAGAGCTGGGATTACAGGCGTACCCTACCACACCCAGTCTCATTGCACCCCATGGGTGGGGCCAGCATGGCTGGCCTGGGGATTGAACCCCTGGCCTCTGTGCCTGCTTGCAGGCACTTTAATCTGCTGAGCTATGTGGCTGACCCTGAATTTTGGTTTCTTAGATGAAGTTTGGGGCTGGGGAGATGGCTCAGTGGAATAAGTGCTTCCCTGGCAAGCGCAAGGGTCTGAGTTCAATCCCCGGTTTCACCAAAAAAAAGTAAGATGAGGTTTAGGCTACCCTAGAACTTAAAACCCTCTTGCCTCATTGTTGGTACCTGAAACATAGGACCTTGAGCTTGGGAGGCAGGTGTTTATGTTGCGGAGCCATCTCCTCCACCCTCTGCCCTTCTCTTCATTTTTTATTACTTATTTTTATTTTTCAATGTATTTGGTGGTTTTTTGGCGGAGCTGGGGATTGAACGCAGGCCCTCGTACTTGCCATGGAAGTGCTTATTCTACTGAGCCATCTCCCCGGCCCTATGTATTTGGTTGTTGCAGGATGTCACTATGCGGCTTGGACTCATGGTGATCCTCCTGCTTTCAGCCTCCCCAGCACTGGCATTACAGGCCTGCATCACTACCCTGGGACTCTGGCCAATTTAGCCTGCCCTGGGGGAAGGGACTGGTGCAGTACATGGTGCAAAGGATCAAACTGCCACTCCCGTGATTGCCTAAGTTTGCCTAAACAAGCACAATAGTCCGCTGAGCTGTCTCTCATCAGCCCCACCCTTTTCATTTTGAGTCAGTTTCTAGCTAAGTTTCCTAGGTTTACCTTGAACTTTAGATCATCCTACCCCTTAGCCTTTTTTTGATTTCATATATATATTTTAGGGAAGAGTCTACAGGGTGTTCAGGGTCTCACTACTAGATCAGACTCAGTGATCTGCCTGTTTACAGCCTCCCAAGAGCTAGGATTACAGGCGTGCGCCACCACGTCTTTTTTTTTTTTTTTTTTAGAACCGGGGATTGAACTCAGGCCTTTCACTTGCCAGGAAAGTGCTTATTCCAGCCCCTCCCCTGAGCTATTTGGCCGGCCCTTTTTGTTAGTTTTTTTTAGACAGGGTTTGGCAATATAGTTTAGGTTGCTCTAGTACCTCAGTATGAGGCCCATGCTGACCTTGAATTTGCTGCAGTCTTGCCTCAGGCTGAGCTCTTAAAGTGATAAGATTATAGGCATCCATCACAGTGCCTGGCTAAATCCTTCATAATTTTGAATTTCAATTTTATCCACCAATAAAAATTAGGAAAGAGGGGCTGGGGAGATGGCTCAGTAGAATAAGCGCTTGCCTGACAAGCGCAAGGGTCTGAGCACAGCCCCCGGTTCTGCAAAAAAAAAAAAAAAAAAA